TTTTTTTTTTTTTTTTCTTTTAAATATCCACTATGAAACTTAGGCTAGAAGTACGTGCTTTTTTTTTACTCCCTGTGTACTTGTTAATATCTGTATACAGTGCTCTTGTATTTATTCCATGGTATTTTCTTACCAATGCTAAGAAGAAAAAGGCTATGGCTAAACGCTTAAAAGCCAAACCCACCTCAGACAAGCCTGGAAGTCCCTACCGTTCCGTTACTCATCTCGAGTCGCTAGCAACCATAGACCTCCCTGGAGCAGATACTTTGGACAAGTTATTTGAGCATGCTGTAACCAAGTTTGGGAAAAAGGACTGCCTTGGGACCAGAGAAATACTGAGTGAGGAGAATGAAATGCAACCGAATGGAAAAGTTTTTAAAAAGGTAACATTGAAACTTTGAATATTTAAAGTTGGGGCAGTAGTAGGGAGAGGCATTCTGTGTCTTATCAACAGCCTGTTGCTGGACTCCTTTAGTTCCATATAATTTTTACAGGTTAGGTGACACTGGATCTTTATTGGTAGCTTGAAGTGCACACTACAACATATACTATTTAGTGTCTATTTTATGTTCTTCTCTTCAGGCAGGGTGGGGAAAGAAAATGAATAACTTTAAAAATGATTAGTCGTTTGGTGTGTTCATGTAGCACCAGATGTGTGGGGTGGGGTGTGTGCATGTCTGCTTGTCTGCTTTGACTTTTTTTCTTTTGTACCAGTTAATTCTAGGGAACTACCGATGGTTAAACTATGAAGAAGTGCACCAAAGAGTGAAGCACTTTGGGAGTGGGCTTGCAGCCCTTGGGCTAAAGCCAAAGAGTACCATTGCGATATTCTGCGAGACCCGAGCAGAGTGGATGATTGCAGCACAGAGCTGCTTCCAACACAGCTTTCCTCGTGAGTGCTGACCCATTCGCTTGCAGTATGTTCATAGAAACGTTTTAGATACTGAGCTCTGAGCTGCTGGTTAAGTATTTGTAATGTGCCTAGTGTGTATCTGTAATAACATTACTTTAAAAAAAAAATGGGGAACAAATAGTGAAAAGTAGATTTCAACTTGTGCTCATTTTGTTAGGATTAGAAAAATTGTGTGTGTCTGTCAAAACTTAGTGCCTGCCAATAATGGGGAACAGGACAGAATTAAATTTCGGTGCATGGTGCTCATCACTGTTTTAAAAAATGAAGCTAAGTAGGATTGCAGATAATTGCTTTCTTTCAAAAACTCTATCAGAACATGGATTAAAGCAGGGTTTAAGCACGTCACAAGAATCTCTGAAATAATCTAGTCTTTTTTCCCCCCCCCCCCCCCAAACATAACCAGTGACTGAAGCAAACGATGAAACAGTTTTATTCATTAAAATGCATGCAGGAAAACAAGTAAAATGGAACTTCCTGTTAACAAATTCAATAAATCTTGTGGGGCCCCTACAGATCTGTGGGGAGCCTCATGGGCTATGGCCCTGCACACTAGGTCACGTGTGCAAGGCAGTATTGGGCCCAATCCCAGCCAGGCAGAAGCAGCCCTGTACCATTCATCTGACTCTCAGGGCCAAAACCTTGAACACCACTGGTTTAAAGAACCAAAAAATAAGAGATGCTCAAGATTTGAGAGAGAAATGCTTTGTGGGAGCTGTGACACCAGAAAGAATGAACAAAACTGGTAGTAATTTATTCTAAAACGCTATCACTAAAACTACTTCACTTTTTTCCTTTTCCTGCTGTAACAGTCCTCAGTGCAGTGAGCTTTTGTTCTTGCATAATCATGGAAAAAAATAAAAGCTGCTTTTATTCCATAATGGAAAAATATGGCATGTGCAATTAAGTGCTGTTTTCTGCCCCTGCTCCCCC